TGAGAAGATACATTCCTTTAATTCCAAGGGTAGAAAAATGTTGTTATTATTATTAAAAGTCCTCACAATGTTGACATTTCCTAGCACACTGCAAAACAGTCTACTGCAACACTGACTTAATTCAAAGAAGTCGTCCAAACAAAGCTGCAGTTCTTGGCTGAGGAGTGCTAGGGGCACGTCCAAGGAACCACAAGAACTGGGTAAAGGAGAAACGCGCTACAGTGGCAGACACGTTATGGGAAACCTGACACTCTTTGAGCTTTCTGGAATGAGAAACAACATCCAAATCTTCTACCTCACCTCCAGCTACAAAATACTTACCTTTGCATACAGAAATGCTTCATCTACTGGGGATTTGCTGGCAAACATTGTCTCTATGAAAGCCTAGTGAAAAAACAAAGAAAAAAAAAAAAAAAAGAAAAGCCTTTCAGTTAGCATAGGAGCCTGAATTTGAGAGAAAGAGCTCTTCTTTTACTCCCCTCCCACCCCGTCTTTTGAGTAAAGCCTAAAATCAGCTGGCCCAGAACATAATAATCAGAGGAAGCTGAAAATACAGAGCGCTGCAAAGACTGGAACCAACAAAACTGTATACCCCAGAAGAACTGTACTTAGGGGCTAATGGACTCTGGTTTTTGAAAAAAAGGATTAGATGATTGAGGCTGATCCCACAGATTGGCATTATACATGTTCTCTCACCTGTGGAATCTCTTATGTCTAACAGGAGCACATTGTGCAGCTTGTCCTTCAGAGAAGTACTAGCTGTCTCTCTTTTTTATACCTGGCTATCTATTTTAATAATATTTTAAAAGCAGAATTGCCTTTGAGATCTCCATCAGTTTTTTTTTTTTTTAAATTGGCCAATGAGTTCAAGAGGTACTTGAGGAGGGAGGGGAACGGACAGATACGCGCAGGCAACATGTTCACAAAAATCCTGTTTCCTTGAAAACAACAGGATAAACGGGAGAGAAAACAGCCTGCAAAAGGAGAAGGGAAGCTGGGGAAGGAATACAAGAGGGCACCCCTGTTCCTGAACAGATACTGTTTTTAAACAAAGTCAAACAGCTACTGACTTGTTTTCAGCTACTGACTTGTTTTGGCTGGAATTATGCTAAATGAGAGAACCTGGTAGTCCAAGCAGTACCTGGTAGTCTTTCTCCTTGTGATGTGGACGGAGTTGAGGCCGGCTAATGTTTGACAGCCAGCAGTTAAGTAACTAATAGACCAGACCAAAGTTACTGCTCCAACCTAGCCCGTCCTATCATACCCATCCCCTTGATTAAGGGAATGCACTGGGTCATTATGCAAGCACATGACCCCATACCTCTGCCGTCACCTGTCCAGCAATCTTCATCCTTTCAATCTCAGCAGGAGATTTGATCAGCCGAAGGTTTTGCACTAGGCGTCGGATGCCTTGGATGTGGTTTTTGCTCCGAGCTTTTATCTCCGTCAGGGGCTGCAGGTAGTCAGAGTGCAGCTGTGTATGCACTGGCTTGGTCAAGTCATACCAAACCACGTTTGACTCACCTGGAACACAAAACAGAGCTGACACAGACAAAGAAAAAAGTAGAAATATCCTGATACTGAACAAACTCACTCCTCTTAAATTAGATCTGTTGCTGCTATGTTTGAAAAGTTAATTTCTTCCGAATCTGCAGTGTGGTCACAGACCAGATACACACTGTCACAGAATATTAATTATCCCTTCAAAACCTGGAAGATCAGTAATGCATGATGACATGTAGATTTGACAAATCTCTACCTGTATGCAAACTCTGGGTTTTTTTTTTTTTTTTTTTTTATGATCATCACCGATCCTGCATAGATATATTCAGAGTTTGTGTATCATACACAAAGTTTAATTTGTATAAGACAGGCAAACTGTTGCATTGCAATGGTGCATGTTTTGAACCACTCCCTAGCCTGCCCTCTCTGAGGCTGCAAGACAATTTACCTTTCACTCATAACATGGAAAGGGGGTCATTATCAATTATGCTTCAGAGCATCTTTGGGGAAGAACTGCTTATTTCAGCCATTCAGAGATGAACTCACTGAGACAAATGTATTTACTTTTGTTGAAATTTATTCAGAACACCAGGGTTAGCACCCATGTTTTACCCACAGAAGGTCTTTACTGGGAACAAGTAGAAAAGCCATGCTGAGTCAGAGCAAAGGTCCACCTAGGCCCTCTTTGGTGACAGTAGCCATTAGCAGATGCTCCCAAAGCCTGTACAAAACTGGGCATTTATGCCCCTTAGCACTCCTTCTCCACTTCCAGATTTCTTTTCAAGGCTACATCATCGCGATTAACTGCTCTTCATGGATCTCTCTCCCATGGAACTAACAACTTTTGACTCCCTTTATACTTTTGACTTTCTAAACATCATGCATGTTCCACAACTTAAAAAGCGTACTTCAAAAGTAATTCATTTCATTTATTTTAAAGCTGCCCCTGATCATTTTATTCAGTGCTCCCTTTGTTTGTAAATTACGAAAAATAGCGACTAATCACTCCTCTTCACCTTCTCCATGCCTTCCATATCCATATACATCTCTCTCATACCTCACCCTCGGTTTTCTTTTTCAAGTAGTACACTTTTGTTTACCATGTGTCTCCTCAAGTAACAGTTTTCTGTAATTTCATCATCCTTGTTGCCCTTTCTGTGCCTTTTCTATTTTCAATATATCCTTTTTGAAATAAAAACAAAGTAGAATCGGGCCTGGTATTTAAGACTACAGCATTTACTCTATTTATCTGTGTAATTGCCCAAGCACTTGCCCTTTTTACATTATCATAAGCTTTCAGCTAATAATTTATCATATTCACTTTATAACGCACTTAAGTTCACTCTGAATTATATATATGGCGGCCCTAAGGTGATGTTAGATGCAACAGAACAAACCTAAAGGATAGTAATCTTCATTTTTCAGGGAGTAAGTCAGTATCTAGCTGACAAAGGTGAGGGGACTAACAACCTCCCTGGGTAGGTCATTATCGAGTCTATTTTGAAGTTTCTTCAACTTTTCTGTGCTTCAGCTGGTTCTGGCTCTGTCAGCAAAAAGACGTGACAAAAACAGTAACCAGGTTTATCAACCTCTCTCGTTTGTTCTGTTCCTTAAATTTCACAGACATGCACCCTGGCACATGCATGAGCACACAAGTAATTCAGAGGAGAGGAAAAAAACTAGTATATTCAAACATATATTTCCATTGGTACTCCTCACGAAGCTAACAGGAATATTTGGTTTTCTAATAAAGAGGAACCACAACTGTGTTCAGTATAGTCAAGGACACTTTGAGGAAGGTAAGAGAGGAAATAAACTAGTTTAACATATGATCTTTCATAGAAGAATTTGATGCATGCAGCACCTAGACAACGACTCAGGTATGACAGCCAGAATCTGTGGAGGAAATAGTTGTTATCACATCATTGGGCTTCTAAAATAAACGTAATGTACCTGAAAGGCAGCGGACTAACCAGAACTTTCCACAAACAGATCGAATCCAGAATAGGCAGGAGCAGCAGAACAAGCCTCTCACCTGCACAGATCACCTCTAAGTTAACAATTACTCTCATTGTGCGGGGTAGAAGATAGGGAATTCCTACTGGCTAGCTTTAGGTGCCTAAGTTAGACATCCAACTTAAGAGCCTGGATCTTTTCTACAGTCAGTCAATAATGATGGGTTGCCTCTCATGCAGGCAATTCAGAGCACCTAAATAAGACCCTCCTCCTCTCCACTGATGCTACCATCAGCAGAGGCTCCTAAATCAGGCATTTAAATTAGACACCTACAGCTAGGCAGCACAATTGCTTCCCGGAGCATTAACATGCTTGGAAGAGGAAAAGAAAATCCATCGTTGAGGCCAAACAGCAACAACTAGCATGAAGGAGAAATCCTTCAGCTGCCTGTGTCACCCTTTCCCACTTCTTGGCACCTCCCCAGGCTCATTTCCAGATTTGAGCTGCAGTCACAGGCCACTTTCCACACGCACACAGACCTACACGTCTCATCTCATTCCCTCCCCTTCGTTTTTCATTACCTTTCAGTTTGGTCACCAAGTGCCTGAACTCCTCAATAGTGTAAGCTTCATCTACTCCTGTAAGAGCAACAGCCCCGTCTGTGCCTGATCGGGGCCCATCCCACAGCTCTCGGCTTGGATCTCTTCGGGGCACAAAAAGGATGGCCTTGTGGGAGGGCAGCGCTTTGCCAGGAAGGCTCTGCAGCACCAGGATGCTGTCAGGCTCCTGGAACCCACAGAGGTACAGAAAGTTAGTGTCCTGGTGGAAAACGTAGGGGATGTCATTGCTCATGTAGTACGTAGGGTTGGATAGCAGAATCACTGTATGGTCCAGTCCATCCCAAGCATGGGCCTCCTTCTGGATCAGTCCCATCAACTTGTGTCGGCGAAGAGCATATTCCACCTGTGACAATCCTGGGGTTACCTCCCCTATGAACGCAAATCAGATCAGAAAGAGAAATTCAACGCACTCATATTTTACTAACCTCATGCCCAATCCCTGCCTGCTCCCTTGATGCCTTTCATATGCATGGCTTAACTATGGTCCCTCATTAACCTTGCCTTTGCTCTTTCATGCACCTCTTCAGCTCCCACCCCTATACACGTCCTCACTCGGTCTGCTCCCTCTGTCATGCAAAGAGAGAAATTCTACTTTAAATCAATCCAATCTTTCTGTTTTATGCTTCTGGGCAAAGGCAGAAACCACAAACTGACCCAGCACATATAAACAAACACCGCAAGCATGGAGGGAACAAAATTCTGGCAGGTATGATTTTCAGAAAGGTATGGAAAAAAAGGGGAAGGGGCTAGGCAACATGAACTTTGACTCTGACGGAAACCGGTGGTTTTTATGGCATCTGGACATTGAACAGAAGATTACCTCCGCAGGTTTAGTGTTAATTTCATCCGATAAAGCCAGAATGTCTCTTCAGACAGACACTAAGTCAACTCATAAAGTAGCTGGTTCTAAAGCTGAAGGGGCGGACTGAACGTTACAGATTCTGTGGGAGATCAGTCACACACACAGAGGTTGTCCTTGCAGAGTTTAACCAATCATGGGATTCCAGGTAGCAGTAAATCATGACTTCCAGGCTGGCGTCACCCTCTGATTAAGAAAAGGAATCTTCTCCAGCACAGACCTAGCTGCTCTCAACAGCTACAATTAGGAGTTTTGTGAAGTTAAATGCTGTATTTCCTACGGACTTTAATGAAACAACTACTCTTAGATGAAAGTATGTTTTATATTGCTCCAGTCACAAAGAACAAGGGGTACAGAGATCAAGAAGTTAACAGAAACTGGACTGAAGTTGAAAGAACAGCCAACAATGCTCCAAGTATGTACTTTCAAAAATCTGACACTCCTTTAACTACAATCTAAATTAATGCCTTAAGCAGAACTGTGGCCAGCGTCCTGTTTTGATATAATTGCTTTTTCATAGTGTCAACTTCTACTTTCATAATCTTTTCTTCCTACTCAATGTATTACAGAGCAACAATTATAGGATTAAAATTGAATTTTGATTTGTACTGTAAGTGGATTCTTTAAATAACTGCTTTCTAAACAAAAAAGTTTGTATGGGGAAGGGAGATTCCATCCAGATTTTTTTTTCCGACAAAAGAGAATCCAAAAACTTGTTGCCTTTGTAAAAATCATTGTATTTGCTTTGAACTCTACATCTTTTCACCAACATACATCCACAACACCTATTTGGCCTAAAAGTCTTATTTGTTTTCACCTGTAGATTTAGAAATTACATAGAACACAGAAATTGTTGTAATGCAATCTGACTCCATGGTTCTGCCACAGTCTGCTACAAATTTCCTATGCTCTACTGCATTCCAGTCAGGTTTCTAACTACTGCAAACAGCCCAGTGATGTTCAGAAGTTGTAACACAGTGGAATTTGGGAATGCCATTTGCCTTCCAACTGTGAGGCATGTAAACTCTTTTTGCCTTAAGGGTGCTTTTTAAAAACAATAATTGCAGTAAGACAATGCCTTACTGTTTCAAAGAAAACAACACTCGTCTGTTAAACAGAAAATTACTGCAGGCAGCTAAAATCAATCTCCAGTATTTCAGCTGTGAGTAGTTTTTAAGCATCAGTCTCATTTACTGTACCCTGTTAATCAGGGCCCTGAGCAACCTGATCTAATATTGAAGGTAGCTGAGGTTTGAGCAGGGGAGTGGATCTGACGACTTCTTGAGGTTCCTTCTGACCTGAATTATTCTACAATTTATACATATGTTATACACCCCTGCCCCCATTCTCTCTGTATATATATCTGCAGAAAAAGTACACAGCATATTTTCCTGGACTCATTCTTGAATATATTTTTTTCTTTCTTTCTTTTTTTTTTTTTTTTAAAGTTTTTATCGCTGTCACCTCACATCTACATGCTCATTGTCCCTAATCTCACAACCCTGCACACTCTCAACTGCTTTTCCATCAGTACCTGCTAACCTTATAGTGACTAGTCTCCCTTTCTTCTTCGTAGCTTGAAGGCCTTTCTGAAAAGAACATGCTTCTTAAGCAAGTGGCGCTCATCTCCCAGTAAGTCTCTCTCCAAACTTTTTCTGAATTGCACCTCTCTTTTTTGACTCACAAGATGTTATACATGAAGTATTCTGGTAGTTTAGTCTATGCAAAAGAGTCTTCCCTAATATAAACCATACTGCACTTGCAGGACAATTTGCTTACAAGATGCCACTGCCACAAAACATCTACAGTGCTTTAATCAGTGACACAGAACACTCCTTGGGAAAAAGGTAAAAAAGCCAACATGTAAGCTTATTTTTGGAATCGGTATCACCTCAGACAGGGAAACTACTAAATAGTTACTACCTAATGAAGCTAATCATAAACAGGTGAAATCATGGACACCTGCATCATGCTGCAAATCAATACTCTGTCCTAATCATTATCTCAGGAAAACAGAGGAAAGAAAGAATACCAATGACTGGCTCGTACAGGGCCTGAAACCTAACCTGGTTTGAGAAGGTGTGGGTGTGTGAAGGGGCTGGGCTGACCCAAATACCGGTTTGGAATCTTCTTCTGCTGGGCAGGCTGGAGGGAAAGTCTCCGGAGAGCCCATGACTTGCAAGCTAGAGGAAAAGAAATACATCACATCAAGGTAAAAGACCTTTCCAAATATCAAATTGCAAAATTACACTCCAGTCATCTGACTCTTAATAGCATTAATTCAACCTCTATCACAAAAATATCCTTTCTTAACTTTTCAACTTGTTGCACGTACATTTGCTCATAAAATTGTCATTGTACACAACTCAACTAATGATCAAATATCCATAAAACAGATTAAAAGAAATCAACATACTTAAATACTGACAAACCAGCACAGAAACACAGAAAGCTAAGCCAGTTTGCACACGCTCAGTTTCAACATCTTGCGTTTGTGATGTGCTCAGTGTTCTCCCTCCCTCGCTCCCCTCAGACACTGCAAGGTTTGAAGCATCACAATCACCCAGGTCGCCTGCATATCAGCATGTCTTGATTACACCCTCAAAAACCATCTCCTATGTAACAATCAGCGTTTAGAGCCTTTCCAATTCTTTTTTAACTAAAAAGAAGCCATCAAATACTACTGCTTTTACAGTAATGTACAAATTTTTTTGGAGGGAAGATACTCAAGTTTCCCTCATCTGTTATGCATCTAGCTTACTTGGCAGCAATATTTGCCAAACTGGAAAAAATTCCTCAGGAGCATAGTTATGTACCCCATTTCCAATCTCACAAACCACTTATGCTGCCAAAGAAAACAGCTTTACGCAAGGCAGCTGTGTGTGAATTGGGGAGCTGGAGGAGGGCACAATAAGACGCAAGATAAAATTAAATACCGTGAAATATGTCTCTCTCTGCTGGCCCTAACAAACCTTACCAACTCCGGATTTCTCAACTACATTTGCAATTGAAGTATTGCTTATGTCTAGATACAAGTTATCAAACACAGGCAAGGAGACGGTAATCAGTTTCCTAACCTCTAACAGCTGATGTTTTGTTAACTGATTCTTTTACGTCACTTGCCACGTGCCTACTATAAAATCAATTTATGCAGCTCTGGCACAGTACCGGATTCTCAGCAGAAGTGATAATCAGCTCTTTGATGGCATAAGCAAGCGTAAAGCTGTTGCACATGGACACAAGAAAAAAAGCTGCCTACCTTTCAGGAAGCCAAGACACAGGGACTTATGCATAGACTGTATGCACAGACTGGATTTTCTGAGAGAACCAATATGACTATCTACTAAACAAAGATTATTTATGTAGGACAACTGAATATCATAGCTTAAAGTATACTATCTGTTTCAGTATGTGATGTCTGACTGCCACAAGAGTCTGGAAATTTAAACAATAAAGTATAATTACTGCTTTCTGTGCAGTCTGAACCGAGACAGCTTTCACTTGTGTCTACCTACCTACAGGGAAGACAAACAGGACATCTCGCAGCGAGACAACAGAACACAACAGGCATCAAACAAAACAACGTTTTGAACACAGCGGGCAGCTTTCCAAATTGTTGCTTTATTTTTCAAGTAAGAACTCGTCCTTTCCTCAGATTTATCCACGACCGGAGCCACGACTTCGCCGCCGAGTCACCTCCCCCCCGCGCCCACCGCAACGCCGCAGGGAGCAGGACGCGAGCACGGCCCCCAGCTCGCCCGGCCCCGAGCGCCGCCGGGCCGCCA